CCCCAGGACCTGGCCCCAAGTCAGGCCCCTTCCTCTTGCCTAGTGCCTTACTGCTGCCTTTCTCCCCCTAAGTCTGCAGGGTGCTCCGGCTTTAGAATCCGGGACAGCGCCCCGGACGCCTGACCCAGAGCAGTCACCCTGATCACTGAGGTCCAAGGCCCTCACCCTGCCCGCCACACCTGCTCTCCCCCTCACGGCCCAGTCAGGGATCTGGCCACGTCCACGGCCCCGAGGCCCCACTCTGGAACCACACTGTCCAGCGGGAGGATCATACAATCCACGTGCGGCCACAGAAATAAACTTAAAAGAAGCAGGTGAAAATATCTTTAAAAATATATTGTGGCACACACCAGTAATCCCAATACTCTGGGAGGCTGAGGCAGGAAGACCGAAAGTTCAAATCCAGCCTGGCAACTTAGTGACTTATTAAGACCCTGTCTCAAAATTAAAAATGTAAAAAGGGTTGGAGATGTAGTTCAGTGAAAAGGTCCTAGGTTCAATCCCCAGCACTGCAATTGAAAAAAGAAGAATTGTACTTGGCCCAATATCTCCAAAACATTATCCTGTCAGTGTATAATCAGCATTCTAAAGAGGATGCATGAAAAGCCAGGTGTGGTAGCACATGTCTGCAACCCCAGCACACAGGAAATAAGGTAGGACTGGACAGCAGGACCCTGCCTCGAAAGGAAAGAAAGGCAGGACATGCACTACTGTACACGTTGTGCTGTTGGTTTTAAATGAAGTCTTCAAACCCTACATGCTCTTAGGATGTGCTCCAGAGCTCCTTTCCCAGGGCTCAGTGGTCTCCTCGAGCTGGGGCCTCCAGCCCAGATGGCGCAGCTGCAGGTGCCGGAGCCCTGCAGCCAAGAGTCCCAAAGCCACGTCCACAGCTACCAACCTGGGCCAGGCCCCCAGTGCTTGCCCCGTGCCCTGACTTCCTGCCCGATTCGTGCTCATCCCCATGGCTCTGAAAGCTGAGTCGGGCTGCACTACTCTCTGCTTGCCACCTCTTGGCGGCCCCTCTGTACCTGTAAAGGACGAAAGCCTGCCGGGCTTCCCATGAGGCACGAGCTGTGCCACTCTGTCGCCCTTGCTGCCGCCAGCGGCCGACTCTCCCAGGCCCGCCTCGGCTCCTGCCCAGGCCTCCCTCCTGCTCCTCCCAGGGCCTGAAACACTCAGCCCCTTCCCCCTTCTCAGACCAGCCTGCCCTGAAGAGCCCACCGCGCCCTCCCGCCTCCCGGCCTCCAGCTGCTACCCGCTCCCGAGGACCCTCCGCCCTCCAGTGCACCTGTAGCCCTTCGTTACTATGTTCCATGTTCCTCGTCTGCATAACCCGGCTAGCACGTTGGTACGGAAATCTGCTGCCCTTCCTTGTTCCTTCCACATCTGCAGCACTCAGCATGGGTGCCACAGGACACACACAATAAATTCCCACTGAACGTCTAAAAGTGAACAAATGAATGAAGGCCAGTGGTGTTCAGCCACACAGGCCTTGCCGATTAGTGGGAAGAGACAGACAGACATAGGTTCTGTCAGGACGAGCACCGTGGAGAAAGGTAAAACTCAGGAAGGGAAATGGGAACCTGCTGCACACCGGGCACACACCACACCTGACGTGAGGAGCACAGAGGCGCCAGGGCCACGACCCACTGCTGTGGTGCAGCCTCAACGGCAGTGGATGCGACAGGAGGGCAGGGCTTGGCTCTTTGCTCCTGCCCTACACCCCGCAGCTACCACCGGCTCCAGCACATGGCGAGCGCTTGGTACGCAAATGAGTCACCTGAAAGCCAGTGTGAGGGTGACACACCAGGAGAACAGTGCTGTTCAGTGGCTGGTGGGCACCCTACCGACAGGGAGAAACTCCTGCCCCCTTCAGCACAGCGCACGCCGGCAGCGGCAGCGTGCACGGGAGGGGGACAGGCACCCCTGGCTCCCCACCTTCCCCACCCCACCCCTATGCCGGACCTGCTTTCTTCTGTCTATCTTACCTCTGCCGAGGTTTCTCTCTGATGCTGCAAAGAACTGCAGTGGGGTCACTGCTGTGATCTATGTAACCAGAATGTCACCTGCACACCCTGCAATGTGCTCAGAAACCACCACTTTGTGCAGCCACGGGAAGTAATAAAGCTCAGTAATGGTGACAGAGCTAGTATTCACTCACTCGTGCTGAGCACTTACCGAGATTGCAGCCTCTGCCTGCCATCTGCCAGCACCTCGCTCTGCTCCCATGACCTTTAGCACCCCTGTCCTGCAGCCCAGAAGACCAGGGCCAAGTGGCCCGCTCAAGACGAACCTGGCCTCCACTCGGCCCTCCGATATCCCCAGATGCCACTGCTGCTGCTCTGGCTTCCCTCTGTCCCTGCAGATGAGCCCCCACTTCCCGCCAGGTCAAGCTGCTGAACACATAACAAGACAATGCAGCTCCCGGATTCCTCAAGGGCTAAGCAGTTTCGACATCTACCTGATTCAACAAAGACCAGGGCTCTGTGGGCACCAGATGCCCCCACCTCAGTCAGTTCATAGTGATGGAGTAATAGCAGATAAACAGAACAACACCCCCCCAAAAGAGGAGGACAATTCAAATTCTAGAACTTTATGAAATGAAATCACAGGCCAGAGACTGGCTCAGAAGCACGGAGTAGATGCCCAGCATGCATGACGCCCTGGGTCAGATCCCCAGCACGGGAAAGAAAAAGGAAGAAGAGGAGACGTCTTGACACCGCGTATTGAAGAGTCTTGCGTTTTATGGCCCAGCATCTGCGTTTTCTGTTTTAGAGATGAGTGCCACTACACTGCCCAGGCTGTTCTTGAACTCCTGGACTCAAGCAGTTCTCCCGCCACAGTGTCCCACCCAAACCTGTGGAGAGGCTGGGACTGCGGGGCCAAACGTCGCATCCAGCGCCGGTTTCTGTTCTGAAGGACAGCCCCAGGAGGCCCCTGTCCAGGTACTACTTGGAGTTCCTGCAGGACTCAGACTCTCCCAGGACAGAAGCAGGTGCTGTACTCAGAGCAGCTGGGGACCAAGCACTCAGTCTCCCATCTGTTGTGAAGTTGCAAGTAATTAAAGCCTGGAAACCGTCCTAGAATGGGTCTGGCCTCGCAGCCCCAGCAGGGTGCCCAGATGTGGCCTTGTGCAAGGACCGGAGGTTCCACGTGGACGTGGAGCCTTCTGAGCTCCACCCAAGCAAGGCTTCTGCGGGGGCCCTGGACCTCTCACCGACTGCAGCCAGATGCTCCACACCAGGACTTCACCCCAGCCTCCCAGCCCTAGGTCGGTGGCAGCATACACGGTACTATCAGCGAGAGGCTGAGATTCTAGCTCAAGCCACGGAGAGAATCTGCTTGTTCTGAAGTCCACCATCTGACTTCCGAGAATGGGCCCCGGACGGAGTCAGGTGGCCCTGTCCAAGTCCCATCAGCCCTGCCCCTGCCGGGCTAAGTGATATTTTTAACCTCCTAGCCACGTATTCTCCATCTGCAGAATAAAGATGATAATAGCCCTATTTTATGGGACTGCTGGGAGATTCAATGAGGTAATGTGTCTACCACATGTGGAGCCAAGCCTGGGCCGCCACCAGCTCTCCAACCTGCCCCGCGCTTTTTTCTAAGCGCCATGGGTGTGCAGGTAGCATAAATATGAAGGACGTGCTTGGCACACTAAACAATAAATTCCAAAGTTACTACCTGTGCTGCTATTGTTGTTATTATTCATTCTTATTATTGCTCTTATTAGTTCCTCATATGATTTAGTGACAGAAAAATAGAAGAGACCCAGGAGGTCCCTACTGAAGGATTCATTTTGTTAGCGTTCTCTGAAGCCTGGAGTTCCTGAGCTTTTCTGGAGAAGATGTGTGTGCACTGAGCATGGTGGCACACGCCTGTAATGCCAGCACTCTGTAGGAGGCTGAGGCAGGAAGACTGCAAGTCTGAGTCCAACCTGGGCAACTTAGTAACTAAGACCCTGTCTCAAAATTTAAAGAAATAAAAGAAAACAGGGTTTCAGTGGAGTTCTGTGCAAAGGCCCTAGGTTCAATCCCTAGTATCACTCCAAAGAAGAAAAAGAAAAGAAAAAATGTAGCTGTGACTGCAACTCTCACTGGTTAATTTATCCAGGTTGCTGCCCTGCCTCCCTTCCGGGCTCAAGGCCCCACGGGAGACCCTGGATAAATCAAGACGCCCTACCTGGCCTCTTCATGAGATCAGAAACTGGCAACAGGAGAAGGGGGTGGGTTCTGAGGTCAGAAAAACTCAATCAGTAAAAAGCCAGACCACCAGAAAAGCCACTGACATCGGAAGCTCAGGAATCAGAGCCATTAGCAGTCCCAGTGCTGACTCCCCAGAGGACACAGCCCAGCACCGGGCAGACGCCTAGCCTCCCCGTCAGAGGTTGCCTGCCTGGGTCTGAGCAAAGGCAGGGCCCTCACACCCACAGCAGACAGGAAGGGTGTTCTGGCCCCGAGGCACCGCTGCTGAGCTGCTGGGGGCAGCGGCCACCTCAAGCAGTCAAGGGCCCAGACCTGGTGAACACAGGCTCCCCAGCCCAGCCCATCCGCCTGCCTCCCATGCAGGAGAAAAATCCCCAAAAGACCAAGGATGAATTCAGTGTGGATGGTAGAAACTCACTGGGTTTCCACACCAGCAATCGTGCAAAGCAAAAGGAGCTGTATGCTTCACAACCAGGAGGAGGACTCCCTCCCTTCAGCTCAAGCCGAGGAAGAGACAGCCGGGGTGGAGGTGGGTGGAGGACAGTGTAAGAGAGGAAAAGGAAAATCGAGCAGTATATGCAAAATCTTGCGCTCCAGGCAGGTCAAGCAACAAGAAAACGAGGCCGCCTTTAACCAGGCAAAACAATGCCACCTAATGCTGTAGCAAGTTGCTCCCAGGAGGGGCAGGAGGCCGGCACCACAGCCCAGGAGACCCACCCAGCCTTCCATCCCCAGACTGGGAGCAGAATCCCCCAGCCCTGGTGCCAGGGCCTCGGGCCATGAGGCCGTCCTCACCTCCAGACTGAGCTCATCTCAGCCCAGGGACCGGGCCATGAGGGTTTTCCTTGTAATGGATTACGTGTGTCCTTTTGCTCTGCTCTGCTGAAGGCTTCTCTCCTAGAGTCAATCTTTCCGGAAGTTCCACTCCGGCTTCCAAGAGTCCATACAAGCCCCGTCTGCTGGGGAGAGCTTTAGAAAGACTGCTGTGACCACAGGACCGTGGCAAGTGAACAAGCCTCAACTTGCCTGCCCATATGCAAAGCAAGCCTGCAGCACCCTGCAGCTCTCGGTTCGGCGGATGCAGTCCCTGCGCCCTTGGCCGGACACCCACCCCACTCGCGGTTCCTCCACCTTGACTGGAGACCAATCTGAGGGCGCGGGCGGCTGCCAGTTCCCTCTGGAAAACAACAGCCTAGGGAAGAAATAGAACCCGTGCTGGCTCGTCCCCAGCATCCTCCGGGTGACTTTTCCTTTCTACTTTTTCTAGACTGGGCTGCAGTCTGGAGCTGCAGAGAAGAAAACACTCCACGCTGCGGACCACCAGGAGGGCTCACCATGTGTCCACGCTCCCGGCACAGGCGGCCTCGTGGCTGCGCTTCCTGGAAGCCTCCTCGCAGACCACGAACCCTGGCACAAATAACGAGCACCGCGCCACGGGAAGGTGGCCCTAAGGACACGCAAAGCCCTCCGAGGAGGCTGCCGTCCCGAGTGCGGGCAGCCGGCGCGCGGGGCGCAAAGCGAAGGCAGAGAAAGTTTCACAACACGGGGCTGCCGAGTTCTGGGGAACCGGCTCCGGGCATGGGGAGGCGGCGGCCACGGGATGGAGAGGGCGTCACGCGGCTCGCGGACCTCCAGTTTCGCAAACGCGGCCTCCAACCGCATCCGCAAGCGGACCCGATCGCGCCCGGGGCTGCGTCTGAGACCCGCGGGCGAGGGTCCGATCGCGGCCCGGCCAGCGCGACCCCCTCCCTCCTCCGTCCGGGCCGGGCCGAGCAGCGCCCCCGGAGCCCAAGGCCCCTCCATCGGCGCCCGCCACGCATCGCCAGCCGCCCGGCCACAGCTCCAAGTTTCCAGAAACGCGGAGGACGAAGCTGCAACTCACCGGGGGGGCGCCGTGCCGCGGCCTCTGCGCGGAGGTCCGCTCGGTCGCTCGCGGGCTGGATGCGGGCGTCCGGGGCCTCGCCGCTGCGCCCGCCGCCCG